GATTTTAGCCGTATTGTTTCCGGATTAAGGTGCACTTCAGTTTGATTTTTGGCCTTCGACTTAGGATAATTTGAAGTTTGAAAGCATTGATGTCAATCTTTATCGCTAGGGAAGTTGTAGGAAGGGGGAGGGCAGGCGACTAAGGAGGGTGCGCCACTGCGTCGATTGTAATCACGCAAATGGCTCTATATCAAAATGTCACATTCGTATGATATCGATGTTTCGTTGTCAATTTTGTGCAGGACGAGCTGAGATTTACTTTTTGTTCTTAACGGCTTTCCTTTCTTTGTTCTTAGTTTAATGCTACATGAATGATATTAAGAAAGCGGTTATAAAATTATCGCAATTGTGTATCTCATTGTAATTTTTTTTATTTTTCTTTTCGAATTCGATTTTTTTTGGTGCTGTCAAATCCATATTCATTATTGGGCTTGTCTTATAATCGTAATAGTTGTTTGGTGTTATCTTAGTCAAAACGCGTATTGCCTAATGCCTTAAAATGCTTGGACCCTAGGAAGGGCAGGTATTAAACAGTCTTTTGAAGTTCTTTTGTGTTTTTCAATCGGCACAGGCTGCTGGCTGGCCACTGACTGCGATCGCTTCCATTAAAATAACTCGTTAAAATTTATCATCGACCCGCTTAATCGCTTTAGCACCACCATCTGGGGTTTTATGATTTTTCTGCTTGCTGTGTACACTTTTGCGGTCATTTTACAACGTTTACAAAATCGCTTCTCCGAACCAATTAAGTGACGATATCGTGCCATATATTATGTAGTAAATTGGTTAGAAAATTCGTTTTAATTGTGATAAAAATGATGGCTATAAGTATGAGGGAAAAATTATTGCGAAAGTTTTTAAGAATTGTAATGCTAAATTTTATTTATTAATCTATATTGCATTTTCTTTGATATTACTCAAAAGGCCCATAAAAAGGATCACTTGCAGTACACCACTACATACTACCATCACTTTCATATATATATTTATACATATCAGATTTTAAGATAGGTGCTATAACTGAACGGAAATAAATACATATAGTCGTGTTATAATTCTTGCGCTTGATTTTTAGACCGTCCACCGTCCAATAAAGTTACGTGGTAATAAAAAAAATCATATTTTTAAACTTTGGAAATTCTTTTAGCCAAATAGAAAATTTTACAATAATGCACATTATACTGGTGTTTTATAAAACCTTTATTGAATTCATTAGACAACTGGCACGACGACAATTCTTAACTATTAAATAAGTAAAAAAAAAGATGTATGGAAATTTTGATAGTGTTACAACTTTTTTCACTCTCTGATTATTTTATTCTAGTTCCTTTAAAAGTATTTGATATAAATGTCTGAATACTTATTTTATTTTACTTCTTTTATTTTAACTCTTATAATACTTCTTTTATTTTAAACTTTAAAATGAATTGAATGTACGACAGTACCGCTTAAAATTGAGTAAAGATTTCTACCATGCCGTTGTCGATAATAATGAAGAAAAGCTTTTCTCCGTAAAATTAGTTTGTAAAATCTGAGTAAAATTTAAAGTGCCCCCAAAGTGTAGAAATTTCCACCGAACTGTAGGTAATATGTAACGGAGACGCGAGCTAATGATATGAAATAGCTCTAGCAAGTTCCGTAGACATTTTAAAGTTACAAAATCCTCTTTTTTTTTTGGAAGAAGGAAATCGTAAGCGCATGTATACCAAATGAAACGGAATGTGTACATATTCATTGAAAATGCTCAACAGAATAGCGGGCGTGACGCTCTATAGAATTCAGATGCCATTCGACAGCAACGCCATAACGGATATAAATGAAACGTTTTACCTCTAAAACGTCAAAGGCAGCAACTTTGGGTTTATATTTTGCGTTTATAACGGTCAGCGGCGCCGGGATACGAGCAAAAAGACTCGAAGCGACCGTCGTCCGTTGCCGGGAGAAAATCTGAGGGCTTAAACAGCGCCGCGTATGAAATAGTGGCGGTCGGTTACATGAAAAAGAGGAGTGACGGTATCGAGTGACAGGGCCATGGAGCGGGATTTTCGATTCGGTGCTTTTTTGGTGCTGGGATTTTAGGAAACGGGCGGCGGACGAATTCGTTGACCGGAAATCGTCAGCCGTTTCGTCGGGTCGAATCGGTCATGAAAAACGGTTGTGCAAGAACCGGTTATAGCGATCGGTTAAATGACTGTAAAGCCACAAAATCGAGTCCTCAATCCACCACGTATACGTGTGTATCGTGAGTTTTCGGACGCTTTGTTAGGCCTCTGAAATATTTGTATAAGCCTCATGGATCCAAATCTTACAGTATCCACATTGTATCCAATCGCCTCGTGAGATTCAAAGTACAAGGGGAAAATTGTCTCTTCCTGAATATTTTTTTTGCCTCATTTGCTGACATCTGCTCCTTACTGAACTGGTGGGATAAATTTAACTTTTCCACTAATTCGGAAAGTGAGATAAAATAAACTCAAACAATGTAAGGTAGTGTAAGACAAAGAATCATATATAATGTTTGACCACAGACAATAATATACGCATAAAGTTCCAATTAAAATATATTTTACTAGTGACCAGCCCCAGCTTGGCGCGGGTGCAATGTAAAATACACATAAACCATCCTCTTGAATCACTCTATCTAGTAAAAAAAAACACATCAATATCCGTTGCGTAGTTTTAAAGATCTAAGCATACACATGGACAGACAGACAGCGGGACGACTTCGTTTCATACTATGTAGTGATTAAACGCATATAAATGACAAATACATGCCTTATGTAAATTATTTGTATGTATTTAGCTGGTACTATTCAAATAAATAAATAAATTATGTTATTTGAATAACGATGCAATTATTAAACTATATAATTTATTTTCCAGATTGACCCAAAAGTGGCCTTCCCCAGAAGAGCACATCCAAAGGTAAGCCATTATGAATATATCTGAACGTTGTGGCAAATAATAAATTAAACGATGTTATATTAAACTTAATTAAATATTAAAGTGCCTTACCAGTTGCCCAGAATAGCAAAGTTAGTATACGGTACGAGTGCAAAGCGAGCTCTGGCACTTCGTTTGTTTATTTTCAAATATTTACACAAAATATTATTTTAGGCTGGACATAATTCTCTTTGGCTATTAAGATGTTGGCTCACGTTGCATAAATAATTAAGGGCTAGTGGTTTAGTATGCGAGTTGTGATTTTGAGCTGCTTCATGTTATATTACTTATAGAACTTTTCAAATTTTCAACCGACTTTAATAAAGGAGGAGGTTCTTAATTTGGTATGTTTTTTTTATGTTGGTTAATTCCGAACTCGGTAATTTATGAACTGATTTTAAAAAATATTTTTGCATTGAGTTTGAATTCGCTCCCATATTATGTGCAGAATATAATTGTGAATAACGTAAAAAGATCATAAACTTAATGAAATCCCAAAATTTCAAACGTTACGATAAGAAAGAAAAACCAAACAATTTTTATGAAACAATTTTTACAGTTACCTTGATGTACACTTTAAGTGTGTTCAATTCTTTGTCAAATTTATATAGTTACTTGAACATTTGGTTTTATGCTGAAGCTTTTGTTTAATTATTTTCAATTAAACTTAAATAATAATATAAGAGAAACTATTACTAAGGGTTTGTCAAAAAGACAAATAATATAATTCTATTAAAGTTTTAATAAAGGAGCTTTTTGCCTAATTCTTTAAATATAATAGATATTTTATGCACATCAAATAGGTCTATTTGCATACCTTAAGTTCGTCGACTCACGCTATTTTCTTTCATTTTTTCGCAATTTTCTCAGGGCTCTTGTGCAATCGCTTCTACGTAAAATGATGACGTCTCGTTATTCAGAGATAGTATAATCAAGTCTATTGCTGACTACCGGCTCTGTAGGTTCTAGTAAGTATGAGCTATCACTGGAGGGGGCAGACCGCATTTAATGTAAATTGGCTACGACCGCCGCCGGCTAGCCCGCACCGCTACGTTTTTACATTCAAGTGTCTGATACTTGGGGTTTTATTTGACCCCGCTACAGTTAGCTGGGACGCTCTTGCTTTTGTATTTGGGCCGTTGAATAGCGGAGCGCATTCAATTGATAATAAATCTGAGTGCATCAAGCGGGGCGAGAGTTTCAGTTTGAAATGAAAATAATTTGAAATGGGAAAGAAGATACCGTTGCGCTTAAATGGTTGTTCGGTTTGTAATTACACAATGAAACCGAAAATAGCATCTGCCCGCGGATTTCTCAATGCAATAAATTATCGTTAGGAATTCGTACGCAGCTACTTTCGCATTATTCCAACATCTTTTCCCGTGGCCATAAATAATACAAGTTACAAATCCGGTTTCCGTATATTTTTGCCGTCTTCGCTATTGATAAATTGCTACGCGGTTGTAAGTTTTAATTAAATGGATTATTTTAAAAAATGCCATCGTAAAATTGTCCTCATAGAATATTGGAATATCAATTTGTACGTTGGGTTCACAAATTAGGAAATTCGGCGGATGGAGTCGACACGCTACCTCCTTTTAAATGGACATTAAACTTGATGGATGGTTTTAAAACATCACGTTATATTACTCTATTCGGGCTGCCGGTGCGGTGTTGCGTGGCCGGTCAAAGGGGATGTCGGCTATGCGAATTACATGAATACATTAAGGGGGCAGTGCCTCATACATGATACACCACGATGCTATGGAAACATTTAGGGGGTGGTACCCCATCATGGGTAATCGAATTATATCTATGTTTAAACGTTAATATCTGGTCCTTACACGGATCACTAAATACTGCAATTGGTCTCGGACGCTTTATTTCAGAACGATTGAAAATACAATTTGAAATAAATCATGAAATAACCACGAAACCCTAACGAACGGCTGGGACGTACAAACAATATTCTTAACAGCCAAAATAATAACTTTTTTTACGCCTAATTACCCGTGATGAGAAACAACGACGCACAAAATCGGATGATTTTGTCATTACTTGCGGGGGCGAAATTCAAATTTCTGATTATCGTTTGTCGGCACTTCTGCTTCCCTTCTAGCGCAAACAATGGGAAAAAACGGAACACCGCCGCCCGCCAGGCTCTGGCTAAGAACAAAACAAACGAATTTTTAATATCGTCTTTATCGATAATTGAGACTCTCGCGAGAACCTCTTATTTTGAAAACTTTTAGAGACTATGAAAGAGAAATCGTGAAAGAAAATGGAATTGGAAGAGAAAACTTTTTTCATCTTCTTTGTTTGACATTGACAGTCACTAAACTTTGTTTTTTTTTTCTCCCTCTTCTCAGTGGATCTATTTAATTTAGAATTGATTCAAGGGGATTTAATTGTCTAGCATCTGGCAGATGACTTGGCCAGATATTGAATTTATCTTGTTTTGGAAAAACTTTGCGATTTCCGGGCTAACTCATGCAAGAGGCGAGCGATCGCGGTAGGCTCCTAATATTTCGGGTGAGCGAATTTAATAATTCGTCGGGATTTGAAATTGTAATGGTCGAATTATCGCGGAAGGGTAGAGTCGCGGTGAATGGCTGCTTGTTGATACAAGAAAGGGAGATGCGAGCGGGAAACAAAGGCTAATATGTCATGGCGGCCAAGTTAATTGACGCGGTTTCCGCAACAACGCGGCGGAACGCATACGTGTTTCCTTCTCTTGCGTATGTATATGAAACGACTGCGTTTGCTAGCCTACAAATATCACGTACTTGCGTTTTGTACAAAATATTATCGCATACAATCGCGACCGTATTTATAAAATTTTGGAGACAGGCAAATTTATGTTAGATCGTTTCGAGTTCAACTGTCAGACAATTAATAGATTCTTATTTTACTGACAATGTTTCATTTTTCCTTACTTTAAATGTTTTGTATATCGAAAAATATTAAGTGTTAATCAATTTTATAATTACCAACATATAGCAAAAAAGAAAGAAAATTAGTATATGTAAGTATATTACTAATATATTTATTAATATGAGCGTAACAACGAAAATATCAAAGATACAAAATCATAATTATCAAAGACACTGTTACAACATTATTACAAAATTACATTAACAAATTAAAATAAACTCTTGATAAAACAATTAAGTAGCGTTACATTCATTTAGCAAGAATAACCCTCGATTACATCGTTAGCTAATTTTTTCAATTGTGATGTTGTTCAAAAACGAAGCTTTCGCAAGTTTAACCCCGACAATTTCAATTAAAGAGCTCTAATCGGGCCCGAAACGGTCGCCGAAATCGGTAGCATTTGTTATCACGGCGGCATGAGTTTATACTCTTTAATGGACTTTGTGGAAGTAGTTCGAACTCTCCTTACGGGTAAGATATTTGAGGAAAAACTACCCGCCACCTACCGCAGCGAGCAGGAAACTTCCTGAACTATGGTAGACTTGGAAAGCGCGCCGCTGAGGGGCAGCGGGGGGGTTGGCGCGCCCAGTTGGTGCGATTTAACGTGTTTCATTAAACGTTTTGTCGGTGTAATCGCAAGTAATTTAAGTGGAGAGAGTCGAGCTTCCGACTTTGTAAGTATTTTGTGTTTTCTTTTTTAATTACTTCGTTTCAACTTTGTTGTCGGGCTTTAAAAGCTGACTGACAGCCAAATAACCGAATAACAAAGTTCCTTGTAACTATTTAGGGTGGGCTTAATGAAATTGTAGGCTTTTTATGCGATAACCCCTCGACGAATAGGTGGTTTCGGTGTCTGATTACTCGGAATCGCACTTGTGGAGGAATTACACTTCTTTTCTTGTACTGATTAGAATCGAAACGCATAATGGAAAAAGAAAAAAATTTCCTAGCAGTCGTTGCAAAAAGATTGCTACAAAAGTCGTGTACTTTCAAATATGGAATCAAAGCGAATGCGGGTTTGAGGCAGTGAAGCATTCTAGCGCTGGATCGTTAATTAAAGGTGAAATACAATATATAACATAGCTGTGAGTAATGCTGGTAGCGTCGGCAGCAGCGCTTCACTCTGCGGTCGTGGGACTTATGCGCCGCCGGACGCTAGTTATGAGCACCGTACCGCCCATAAGTCACCCTCTACATCTGTTCCATCACTCTCCACCGAACTTGCCTTCATTACGCGGTATTATGCTGCGAACTTGCCGCATAATTGATTTCGGGGGCGATGGTACGACAAGCAGCATAGGCTATGTGATAGGCAGGTCATGTGAGTGCAAAAATGCACGGAGTAATGAAATTTCACTAACTTCCTACCGATTTTTTTATTTTATTCCCACGCTGGCATGATATTGCGTTTACTTTATGAAAGCACAGAGGCATCTAAGTGTTTTAAGTTGGATACGGAAGACACTTTTTTAATACTTCAGATAGAATCTTCATATTGGTTCAGTAGACATCTGAGACAGATGAGATAATGTCTTGTCATAGGAATTATGAATGTCACTAAGAACAAAGATATTTTTTTAAAATGTAATACGTGTATGACAAAAAAGTAAAGATTGAAGGTATTAAATAATTTAATTAACCAAATAAGTATTTCACTTATAAAAACTGTATCAACAAGGTGACTCCTAACGTTTTATAATATATGACAATATCATACAAGTTAATATTTATTCAAAGCTTAAATAAAATTATACTACTTGTAAGGTTAGCGTAGGGAAATAATATTTGTTTGAAGAGTTTCTACCCATAGCTCCGACCTTTATTAACAATAACATTTTACTTGGAAAAATTTATGAGGTTTACCAGTTAATACTTTTACAATCACTCGAACGGCGGCAGAGTTAAGAATAAGGTCTTGAAAGCAAAAGTTCCACGTAGAGCGGGGAGCATACTTTGTAAAGAAATTGCATTTAATCATGTTGGGACCTTCTCATAACTTGGCTTTCTCTCGTATATTTTATGAATTCCTAACATATTTCTCGTCAACAATCGCTTTAATATTTACGACATTATACAGGGAACTTAAGAGGCTTTTAACTATTTTAATAAAAACAAGTCGAATTAAAAACCTAAAGGAACCTAAGGGAGCCTTGACAATATTACTGACTGAGTCTGACAATAAAAGTGAAATAAAATTATTTGAGAGACAAATATTTAAAAAAAAATAAAACATTGAAACATTCATATAATCCCATCAATCCTTATTCAAACAACAAACTTAAATTTTGAGTATTTTAAGAAATTCAAATTGCGTCCTGTGTGGTATAAGCTCAGTATTGGCGGAAATTGAACTAGCGCCGCCGTGCTATCGTGTTCGTGAACGTGCAACAGACTATTTTCATTCCAACCAACTTAATTGTTGTACTAGTTTAGTTTAAAACGAACGTCAATGGAAGGATATGGCCTGTGGTCGTGTCCGTGTTCCTGATGAGCTAGTAACTCGTGAGCGAGACAACCCATCATACGCGATGACACGCCATTAACCCGGGCGAACTTGCCTGGGACTTACTCCGATGGAATGTTTCGAGACGTAACCAGCTAGTTGGTCATTACGTCGCGGGATTTATGCCCAACGGACGCTTATATTTCGTTGGGGTTCGTGAATTAATAGGTTAGACTACATTATTATATAATGTAATTTATTCTGATTTGCGTCGGTTGCTTTAGTAAATGCGCCGTAGCAAGGCGCGCGTAGTTTTATTTCAGTTGGGAGGGACACGTTTATGAATATGTATTAATGAAAATATTTTGTTGTGATGTTACGACGGAGTTGTTCCTCCCGTTTCATTGCGTGTTAGAATTATCGAAAGATAAATTATTAACAATTAGAGCAGCTTGCAAAATGTGCGTGTTTATCAATGTGAGGTTATAAATGAGATTTTTTGTAAATAAAGGGGCAAAAACTTTCGGAGCCACGGGACTCGAACCCGCGTCTTTGGAGTAAGAGACTCAGACGCTTTACCAAGTGGCCGATGACGTCACGGTGCGAAAATCCTGACATCTATCGACTTTCTTTATTACATTTTTAGCAATGCTATTAAAATGTATAATATAAAAACAAATGCTAAAACATAATCTTAATAAGCTGTATAGCTTTAATTTTACGCAGAATATTCCTCATTGATATGAAAATCGTTTCATGTCTGTACGCACTTTTACGTACAGCGGTTGTTTGAGAGTCATGGCGTAGCGTACGACGCTATCGGTATTGTGGTGGCGTGAAAAAAATAACTTTTATAATAATTCGTGACAAGAATGCGCCCGTTTGCGTTGAATTTACAAATTAGCGCTGCTTCGGAAATCTAATTGGAAACCGGTTCTATGAAGGAAGTGTCACATTTGTAATGGAGGTGACAAATTTATTATTTGCCGGCTTACCCGTATTATAACCAAATGTCACGGTTAGTGTTATATTATTAGTTAGAAAGTGTTTTTTTTTTTGGTATCATGCTCTTGTCCTTTATTAAGGCCATTTGAATCATAATATTGAATAAACAACATAAGTGTATCGGCAATAGCAAAACTAACATAGATATATTCAGCTGCATAACAATGGTATAGTAAACGGACTTCAAGCAATTTATCTCTGAATACTAAGCAATATTGAAGTCTATTGTCCCGCGTCAGATAGACAGATGATGTTCCCAGAGATACTCCAGTACAGAAGTTAGTCTGTTTTGGCGTAAGTGCGACTTAAGTTTCGAATGCTTCGAACTAGAAATCAATGAATCTTAAACCACTTCTTGGAATTCTCCCCGAAGCCGTATGCAGTAGCATTTGGTTTATTTTAACTGAATTCTAACTTTAGTGAGGAGATTTGATTGTAAATCGCGCTTTAAGTATTAAGTATTAATTTAAGTATATCTATATTATATCCAATAATCACGCATTTGTTTTTTTTAAATACCGTAGTAGAAAACTTACACCAAACTAGGTACAGTAAAATATAAAACTTTTCTTTAAATTACCTTCCTCATTCATTATTATCGTATTTCAAAAATAAAATGTTCTGAAATAACACCAAATATTTGTATACGTATGAATTTTATTTAATTAATTAAACATTATGTTATGTTTTCGTATGTTTCCTAAGGATGTTAAAATGTATTAACATCAAGTTGATATTATGATTGTATAAGGGATATTTCACATTATAATAAAATAACAATTTTTTTAACGACTTATTCAAAAATATTAATAGTATTGCTTATTCAAAAAGTCAAAAAATGTGCAGTAAAAAGATCTAGGTCTAGAAGAGCGATTTAAGCCGTAGCTTCGGAAGTTTGCAATTGTACAAAAAGTATTCAAATTTTTGAAAAGAGAATATAAATATGGTATAAAACAAAGTTGTTTCGCTGTCCCTATGTACACTTAGATCTTTAATCTACGCAACGGATCTTGATGCGGTTTTTTTTACTAGATAGTGCATTGCACCCGTGCGGGACTGGTCGCTAGTAATATATAATAGCCAATTGACCGATCGCAATGCAGAATTAAGTGAGGCGCCGCGTCTTTTTGCAATTTTCCCGCGTCACCGTCAGCCAATTTAAGTATTAATAAAACGACAAAACGTGACCCGGGCCAACGGCCGTCATCCATCACAGGCACACGTCAAGTGGTGGCCGAGCGATTAAAAAACTGGACCTAGCGGCGCTCACCGCAGATAAAGAATATTTCAGCGGGTATTTCTGAACGCGGGCCGCCGGTAAATGTTCTAGACAAGGGTGAGATTAAATATTAAATTCGCGGTTTGGAATTTCGGGTTGAAAAGTAACGGTGGCGGGCATACGCTAACTCGCCCCGATGCCCGCTTCAAAATCCATTTTGCCGGGCCGCATCCGGACCGTAAACAAAAGTATGTAATTTTTATCGCGGCTAGAATTACGCCCGGCCAAATTGCTGGGGGAGAAAATCAGATTACGGTAGCTTAAAATAAGAGAGCTTTCGTTAAATTCAATCGTGGCTTTATTTAATTTGTTTTAATTGTTCCGCGGAAATTTTTGTGCCAATATTATTGTTTATGACTACGTTGATGTTAGTGAACAGTGATCGAGTAATTTTTTATAATAACAAAACTCCGAGCGGTTAAAATTAATATACGTTTCAGGCTTTACAACAGTAAGACAAACTGAGTGTACCTAATTTTATGTGTACTATTACCGATTTCTGGAATACCTGTAACTCTTATGCTTGAAAATTATTACTTCTTCTCTGTAATAAGATGTTGTAAATAATGAAGAGAAAGATCAGTTTTGCGAGCTACAAAGTATTACATAAACTAAAGTACATTCCGTATGAAACTGTTATATATAGCTTTTTCGGTTACCACGTTCTACAATTTGTATGTTATAGAGAGCGAAGAGCAATACGAAGTTGACTTCTAGTGATAGGGCAATTTTGTCACGCAACACAGTATCTTTTCGCAGTATCTGGATTTAGGTGAGCTTAGGAAGACTCGGTTTTGTCGTAAAATCAGATAGCTGACACTGATGCGAATTGAAGAAGCACTCGTGACCGTGCATTGAGGCGACGATTGATGACTGTGGTGGCTCGAAAGGATATCGATATAGCGAAATAAGTTAAAGACCCTATTTTCTGCTTATAAGTTACTGGGAAAATGTTTCTTTCTTTTAATACTTTGAGAATTTTTCTCGCAACATTTCTGATTTAAATTTAAACGCGTCTTTTTGTATAAGTATTGGTTTCTTGTTTTTAAAATACTGGCTAATGTTTGACCTCCCTTATCTTCACATTGAGCTTGATTTTTTAATTAAAATGGACTAACACAGAATGGTTGCTGTTTTCAGTGTTTGTGATTAAATTGCAAGTTCCTATATATTTCTTATAACATTTATTATAAAAGCTTTTGGATATTATATTTTCATCATTTATTCATCCGTATTCCGGTGCGATTTTGTACTTTAGACTAAAATCATAACTTAGGGTAAAATTCTACGTAACCTCAACAACATCGTTTAATATATAAGCTTATGTATACTCGCATTCTAAATTTTATAATTCTCCCCATTGGCGAGAGTTACTAAAGTGTTAAAGGAAGCCTGATTTAAAATCAAATTGAATGAAATCAAAAATAGATGTGAATTTAGTTAAAATTATAGCATAAATATGAGAGGACAAAGTGGCTTAAGGTACGTCGTGTGTGTACGCGATAGCAAGCCTAATGATTGATGTACCCATACATCTCTGTTCAAACTAATGACAGGGTGAGGGATGTTGACTTTCAAGTTATTAATTAATATTGCTATTATTTTGGCAGCTATGATTACCCACTGCGTGTCATATTGGCATCGTGTGACTAGTTTGCTCCAGCGTGTCACTTGTTTGCTATGTTGCGATATATCACCAATGATACAATAGTTAAACAGGTGCAGGAGTATTTTCAAATGATACTGTGTTCTATTATCATGTTTTATAACAAAAGGGAAACTAAGATTTTATAAAAAAAAAATAAAGGAGGTATTTTATAAAATTTCCGAGCTGGAATCGAATTTAACGTGAAGAAGCAGTTGCATGGAATGGAAAAATCTTAAGGACGAGGTGAAACTTTCGCGTCGACGCCAGAAACACCTGATCTGACTAGCAATATTTCATAACAACACGCATCGAAATAAGTGTATGCGATTTTATTATATTTATATTCAATACGCGAATAGGTTTTGTAATTGATTTTTGTAAATTGAAATTCATCCTTATATTAACCATGTTCAATATATTATGTATGTATATACATATTTTAAGAAATGCATTTAACATGAGAACATGGTTTCAAGCCTTAAATAAAAGTTCTTTTGGGGTAACTAGTACATATATAAATTATACATGGGTGTTGTAAAATTCCTGCCAATCTTAAGCATTCAAAAGGCAAGTGTTAATTAAACATCGTTACAACTCAATGTAAAAGCGGAGTCAATTTGCGCGAGGCGCGCACGTTGATTCGAAATAACGAAAACAATTCAATATTCCATTGAAAATTTTAATAGCATTCAAATTTAGTTCCGTCTTAATTGAAATATTCCAGTTTGTTGGAACGGAAAAGCAAACGAAATAATTATCACTTTGTCCGTTGATCTTGGGAAAATACTCTTCCTTGTTTTACGTTCTTCTAAAAACAAAATAGTTGTAAATGACGTAATGCTTGGAAAGACTTTTAATATTCTCACGATGTTATTCATACCAGAACCTAAGCGGGGCACTAATGACATGTCACTGCACCAAGACCGCCTGTTCGCTCTATCAGACGATGAAAACTTCTCAATATTAAAATTTATCGACATCGACTTCACGCGTCATATTAATGGCTATACGACTATCTTTAAATAGTTCTAACTAATCGTATAAAAGCAAGAATTTTATTAACTAGATTAAAATTATGATTCGTTATCGAAATCTTATTTATTTCTAAGCAAACTTGTAAAGTTTTGCTTACGTTAAGCTTTTTCAATAGAAATTTTCCCTTTTCCCTCCTATAAGGAAAGTATAAAAATAATTGCGAGTTCTTCTTTAAGCTTTCTTTTTTGCTATTCAGCGAATGCCTAAGAAATGCTTCGTGGGATACAAGAACGTACATATGTTGCGTTCTTTTACATTGTACGAGTATATTTCATTTTATGTCATTTGTCCGTACTTTGCTAAAAGCAAACAAGAAATATAGTTAAGTTCTTATTTTTATTTAGTTACAGTAATAGTCAAAAATTTTAAAAAATGTTGAGGGTGAAGGTAAAGAAGAGAAGACTAAAGGAAAGATTTATTTGCGAAATACATTACAAATACAGTCAGTGAGATACCTCCAGTTTGTGTCATTTTGATATTATTTAATTTTCACAAATACAACAGCATTTGAAACAGAAACTAGGTTAAAACGCGACGCACAAATAGCGTCTTTTAAAATTATCAACATGAAAGTTTACGCAGAAACTAATACCTTTCATCTTAAAGTAAACAACGCGAACAACAGAGGCGGTATCTGTTTCAATACATACAACTTTGACATCTGCCAAACCGGAGCAAACACAATCCGGTTGGAGGCAGTACACGCCCGACTTAAATCAAATAACTGTATTGCTTTTAGCTTTGTAAAGCTTCAAGTGCAATAGCGTCGTTGGCGGATGTTCCTGCCCCGTCTCTAGACTGTAGTCTATGATATTGCCCCACGCCCTTTACGTGTCGGGGGACTCGGTGTCTAGGAGGGCACGCACGCGGTAAGCCGTCCCCGCGATAGTCGACACAAGCCACTTCCCCCGCTCTCCAGAGATAGCGCAAGCGTGACGTCCGACCTAACTGCTCCAGTTTATCCCTTTAATTGCCTTTTTTTCCTCGGAAACAGCTCAAGCGCACCCGCCGTATCTCCTCACGTCGCAATTACGGAGACGTCTTATGATAAATCTGCCGTAATTTGCATGAGATAGCATACGCTCTCAACTTTCACGCGGAGCTCTTGTGGTTTATTAAGTTGGGGAACGTTTCCAAGAATGGGAATGAGCTATTTAACTACTAACTAGATAGCGTGCAACGCCGTACGCTTCATTACAACGTCCGTATCCGATCCGCGTTCGTTGGGGCGTACCAACTTTTTCGCAGCGCCCGATTGCCCCTTCGTTTTTAGTGGAAGGTGCGCGGTGTTGTGGCGTCGAAGCAGCTCAGTTTCGTGGCGTGTTCTCTTTGCGGAAATAGGACTCGGGGAGGCGGACACAGAGGGCGCAATCTACGCCGCGCGGCGAATCGACAGCCGACACCCCTAGGCCGCAGCGCTCTCTTCGCCAATCTCGGCGTTTTTTCCAAATGCCGGCGCCTCAGCAAGTCGACGTGCGCCGCGGCGACAGGGATTGCAACGTCAGCACACCGCCCTGCGGATTGCGTCGCCCGGCTATTTGTCGAACGATGCGCCAAAACATCGCATCGCAATTGCACGGAAAAATTATTCCCCCGCTGGATTGCTACTCTCCGCTTTTTGAAGACGCATTTACTTTTTCAGTATTCCAGTTTTATATTGTGCGGTTCACGAGATAGGGATTGTATTATCTCGTTGGCAAGCGTCTCGAAGCCGTACCTCATTTCGATTCAATGTAGCAGGTACTTTAATGAGAAAATAAACTTTTCAAATATAAGCCTCGAATCTGGACATCGCTATCTATTGGTGGGACATGGCATTACAGTTTTATTTTTAAGCAAATGGCAAAATGTCTGGTGCATACAAATTTCTTATTTCTCATCGATTTTGGCACATATTTATGTAGTTATTATGTGGCAATTCTTATGTTTTTCATTCATATCTATTGTAAATAAATGAAATGTATCGGTCGGTATCTTTGTATAAAATCCGTAAACTTGTACACTTTTGAAGTTGAGGGAAATTGACAAGCGAACGTGTCGTTCACCTGATGTTAAGTAATCTCCGCCAGGGAGATACCCAAAATCTGTGATACCAGCCTTTAAGACGTAAGTCCTCGCTCACCAGATGAAATGCAAACGTATAAATACTATGTGCCGGTCTTATGAAGCTGTAATATTTCCCCGAACAACCCAACGGATTCATGCAATGGCAGAATCTGCTACTGAAAAGAACTATGAAATTATTTCTCTAATGAAAAACTAGATTAACTCTTTTAGAAACAGTAATTTGACTATGCTTAGTAAATTTAATTTATTAATTTAAAGACCAACGCCTATTGACAGATCAAGTCTTAAAACTGGGAAGAGTGTTCATTCCTTTAATTCTTTCTAAACAGCTATTAAACACATCACTTAGATGATGAAATTTAATAACTATGTGAAATGATTTTAATTAAACCATGAAACCACATTTTAAGCTTTCTTTCCTAAAATAAAGGCTATCCTTGTTGAACGTATCGACCGCGATCTGGCATTATCAAGCGTGGGCCCATCAAAATAATCATTTGCTTTATGGGAACGACGGCGATATGTGACGTCCGGGCGGGGTAATTAATGCAAATCAATGGTTGGACGTGCGATTGATTCTGGACTAGCGGAAAGCCGATCAATGACGTTAATGAGCTCCGAGGAACCGTATCGCTGACGTTTCAATATTATGCAAATGCTTACGCTTATTCCTGAGTAATAACGGCGAGCGTTCAGCGTGCAAGTTCGGCCCGGCTGGCAGCGTGGAGTGCTCGATTTGCTGATTATTTTGTGGTGCACCGACCCGTTGCATATTTTTAATAACCTCCGTACATTGTATAGAATGTCGGTTGATAATTCAAAGTTCGTTGTTTATAAACGTTGTATTCGAGAAAATTGATTGAGAAAATTGGTTGAATATCTTAACACATTGAAATTGAAGGATAGTCTAAATTTAAACCTTTAAAACCGACTATCATAGCATCAACTAACTTAACAAATGTGGGCCAGACTGCGACATATTTATTTTCGTAAGTGAGCTTCGGTTTCTCCTAAAATATATTCGGTATAAAAGCGTAAAATTCGGTTAATACTGTAGGTTCTTCATAGAGGTTATGTAAATGACAGGTGACTGGTATTCAATTGTTATTTTTATTTTAAATATATTTCGGGATTCTTATTTTTAAAATATTTTTCTACGAAACAAGCTGTGCACGCAAAAGTATCTAAATGATAGCTTAATCTTAGTTATCACAACATTAACTTCATATAAATTGAAAATTATAATGTGATTGTATTATCTATTGTGTAAACAACGTATTTGAAACGATAACAGCGTACGTATTAGTCCGTATATTACCTATGTACATGTCAGTATATGTCTAAGGTAAGCCGATCATTGAGTCTAATGAGGCCTAGGTGTATCGGTACCGCTTCGATATTATGGAAATGCTATCAACTAGTTGCCTGAAAGGCTTTGCCGGCCGTCTCAATTCACGTTACCCAACTGTAACAATGGCTGCCAAGTGAATACATACCATTTTCATGGTCGGCGATGATTAATTGCGTGTAACTTTTCTCGGAAAAACAGATATTGCTTAGCGATTTGCGATACTGATTTTGCTTTGATAAGTCGAAAACAGCATAGTTAATCTCTTAAGTAGATATTATATCGTCGCCCCGTCTATTTTGTATTTGTATCATATAGAGTAGTATGAAATTCAGTTTCATAAAAAGATAACTAAATTACAAGAAATTCCTTTTTTCAGTTTGGTCTTATTTGCTTAGTTAATGTGTTATACGTCCGAACCATTAGGTATTAACAGATTTGTATAATTAATAATAATAATAATGTTTTTGCAGGCATTGTAACACCTACTTATCAACATAAAATATCTACAGTCTAATAACAAATGATGAAATAGCTTCCTGTATATATAATTTTCCATATTACATTAATCATCTTACAGAGAATAAATATAAAACATGATTAGATATAAGTGCATGTATATAAATCGGTCAATAATATAAATTTGCTTCCCGTCCCGTTGTACTGTTAGCCAATAGTACCTGCATGACCGAGCTTTGCTCGGTTTTTTTTTGTAACTCGTGTGTTTTGGAAATTACATTAGATAAAAATTACTTAGTGGTGAAAAATTAATAATATTTTTCGATCTTACCGACATAATACGAAACTATGAATTATTTTTCTACGGTGGTAGGGCCACGCAGCAGCCTCGGCTGTTGCACGAATGGGCAGGCTCCTCAGGGTAAGTACCACGGCCTCACAGAAGACCGGCGTAAACTGGAAGTATAATACTTTCGCGTTTCGTCTGGTGAGTGAGGTGGCCGGAGCCCAATTTTCAAAAAGTTGTCAACACATCTGCAACCCTCGGGTGTAGCAGATGTCCAATGGCGGCGGTATTCACTTAACATCAGGTGAACCGTCTGCTCGCTTGGCAACTTTTCACATAAGAAAAAAAATAATTGAATCACGATTACAATTAGTTTAACATTTTATTAGAAACAAGTACTTACTTTTTTACAGTTTGTCAATAAATTCAGTTTTAATTATGAAATAAGGCCTTTAATTTAAAGTAAATAATAATAGTAATAACACATAATATGAGGCCCCTCTATAGCCTTCTTGTATCTTGTATTAACTAATGATTTTGCTTTCAGTCCTGAGACTATTAAAGCTTCATCTGACGCAGAACCGGTGGGTTAGCCAGAACCCAGGGGTTTGGGCCCTCCGCTGTGGGTATGGCCGCGCATGTGCTCATGCACCCTCTATAGCCGTGACACCTCAGTGTCCGAGCGCTCGCATTTAATTCAATATGCTCGAGCAACCTGAGTTCGATCCCCGGTGCCGGCACCAGTGAAATTTTCAGTGCCGAATTATCACGTATTCAGCGGTGAAGGAAAACATCGTAAGGAAACCTGCATATTTTCGAAATAATAATAAAAAAAAATATTTCGAAGATATGTGAAGTCCGCCAATCCGCAGTGGCGCCGCGTGTTGGACTATGCCCTAACCCTCTGTACAGAGGAGGCTTTTGCCCTGCAGTGGGACATTTATAGGCTGTCACTTATTAGGCTGTATGTATATATTTATACACTTTACTTTTCTAAGGCCCTGCTTTGAACAGCTATTTGTCAGGTGTGCAGCCTCTGCAAATACGTTTAGACGAGATTGGATGAGTAAATAATCTACACGGACGTCATTAGCTGTGATAAAGGATTACACCTACATCCTTAGCCCACGGACAATGGCAGGACCCGTCACTGAGCGTTTCCGACCGAGACACCGTATGGAAGGAGAAATAGCTCCAGGCTGATTCGGTACTGTTGCTACTAGTTACGTTTCTGACCTCTTTGGGACAAAGGTTTTGATTGTGCGATACGAGTCGAACAACTATCGGAAACACCACCATAAGGGATGGCACTTCGACATCTGTCGAGACGGTCGTCTCTAAAAACTCTGACCACGTCAGGCTATATTGGAGACGGTGCTCTAAAATGACCACGTCAGGCTATATTGGGACCTATAATCAGGGACAGGACGATTCTCGTGAACAAACCTGATATCATGTTGATGGACCGGACACAGTCACGGGTATTTTTTGTAGACATTACTATTCATATGACGAAAACCTCGTGAAAAATGAAAGAGATTAGACGTATCTGGACCTGGCTCGCGAGGTGACCGACATGTGGGGTGGTGTGCCGACCGCAATTATCCCGATATTCGTTTCTGCCAATTGGTTAATCCCAGTCAGCCTTTTCGAACATCTGAGGCGACTGGGGCTCTGGTCTGCCAAGAAAAAGTTTAGTACGACTACTTTAGTACTTTTTTCAAGTTTCTCTGCTTTGCCATTAAAGATCAAGTTATTCACACTAAAATTATAGAAAATTTATTATTAAGGATCCCAATATTCAGAGTGATAAATGCAGAAAATGTAATGAACAACCGGAAACTTTACAACATTTTTTATGGTGCTTCTTCAGACAGACTACACTCATCGACGTAATCAAATAGCCCAAATGCTATGCTGGAAGCAACATGTATTGGAGAGTCCCACTAACAAAATCTACTTTGGTAGAGCTATATTAACTGACAAAACGATACAACGAACAAACAGACTTATTTAATAGATATAGCAGTTCCTAACACCCATAGTCTACAAAAATCAATAAATGAAAAGTGTTTGGAAAATGAACAAAGTACTTACATTTTACCATCGTCTCCAGCACAGGCGTTCTAACTTTAAATATCTTTTACACTATTTTCGGGGGCAAAAAATCGATCTAGCTAGGTTTCATTTTTAGAAAATGTCCTTTTATCCCTGTTTTCAGGGAATGAAAATTATCATTCGAATATGATGGTACATTTCGCCGAAAAAAAATTTATAATATCTCGGTCAGTAATTGGGCGGCCCCGAAACAGAAGGCCGTGGTTCGTGTCACGATCATTTACGCACTTATTTTTTTGTATACCAGATCATTCCTTTCTTTATTTTTTATTTTTTTAATATCCAAAATACACGATTTACTCCAAAAAAAACATAGCAAAGCTAAGTCCTCCGGGTATTTTATATTTACATGTATAAAGCCGCAATCCTAAATATATGCCACTTCATTAGGAAATTTTTACTGGAAGACCTCAAAATCCTATTATAAATAGATGAGCCCCACTTGGTGAAGGCCTGTGGTGTTCATTACTTACCGAAATCTGATTACGAGAATTTCTGACTTTTATCTTTATACCGAAACATCGCCAATAGGATAAAAATATTTGTAAAATTTCGGTTTCTTTTATAATATTATTACTACCATATTCTTTTTTTAAATCTCCTTCATATATACCTAGATACGAATTAGATGCGTTGATAAAGGACTCCCAATAAATAGATTTTCACAAAAAAGTAACTTAAAAAAAAGGGAAAAAAAAACTAAATCATCTGGACTCGAAAAAAATAAAAAAATAAAGAAAGCAATGATCTGGAATCTAAAAACATTAAAAAATTAGTACCACCACCTTCTGTTTCCAGGCTGCGCGATTACCGACGGAGCTATTATAACATTTTTTTTTTCGCCAAAATTTACCATCACATTCGAATTATATTTTTCATTCCCTGAAAATAGGGATAAAAGGATATTTTCTGAAAATGAAACCTAGCTAGATCGATTTTTCGCACCCGAATGTACGCATATACTAAAATTCATGAAAATCGCTGGAGCCGTTTCCGAGATTCCGATTATACAAGAATTGCTCGTTTAAAGGATAAGATTTAAACATATCTCCACAGACGGTTTAGAGTATACTGTTAGAATAGCACAATCTGGCACAAAGGAGGCTAATATATTATATATTAGTTTATAAAGCTAAAGATTGATTGGTATTATTTATTAATTATGTAATTTAATTTTTCCGAATTATTTCTTACTCTCTTACTCAATAACAAAATACATAATTCAGATATACGTTACAGTCAAAACGTAAGTTGTGACTAACCTACAATGTCCGAAGCCGTCGATTGTGTTCACTTACGATATTCCACAAACGCGCAATAAACTGTACGAGCACAAATAAAGGACTACCATAAGCACTCTTGTTACACGTAGTATTGTGTTAGTAGTCATAAAAACTACGCGGATAGTGTGTCAACAAGGGTAGGGTTGGTGGGATGTCGGAACCGCAATGCACCAAAGTAAGTGACGCGGCTTCTCGTAGGGCGACACTGACTGCTCGTTTATCAAAGTCAATATCGACTGTCGACACTCAGCCACACATATTATATCAAGTACCTATTA